AATCAGAGCCCAGGACCGCCATCACTCAATGACGCATGGGTTTCACGCACACCACCACCGGGTCATCTTCTGTCCTCGTTTTAATCAAACACACCACTTTGTCTGCTGCCCAATGGCTCCTGTCATCCACACCTGAGACTGTGAGCTCCATGTGGGTAGGGCCAAGGACTGTTGTGGATGCCCTGGGAGATTCAGTACGACCTTCTCCAGCCACCTGTCCCCATGAGTGCCCTATTGTACCATCTCCACGGTGAGTATGCAGTCCTACTGCATGTGTGGTCACGATGGAAACGCACAGAACTCCCACTGTGAGCTCGGCAGCCCCAAGCTGCTCTACACCCGTCAATGAGACAAGGCCACCGCAAGGCCACACGGCTAGAGCGCTTGCCTCCCTCAAGCTGACCTTTCCATGTTCTTGTTGTCAGCCCTGAATCACGACAACCCGTGCACAACAGAAAACAGTGCCCTGTCCTAAACCTTCCCCACGGTCAGCGGCAGATAGGACAGCTGTGGTCCATGGGGCTTTCACTGCTTCATTTTTAGAAGGAGATCACCAGGCTTCTCTTCCTAGTCTGTCTCAGTCTGGTAGCTCCACTGGAACCCGTTCAGCATCCCGGCAACGCAGATGCCTCCAGTGACGGACGGGAGGTGGCTGCCACGAGGTGCACCAGCCAGGAATCCAACCCGGTCTTCCACACACAAGATGAGAATTCTACCACTCAACTGTCTCGGTCCCCCTAACCTAACATAAACCAAACCTACTGCCATTCAGTTGTCTCTGACTCATAATAACGCCCACTGGGTTACCAAGGTGGTAAATCTTTATGGAAGTAGATTGCCCAGTCTTCCGAGGAATGGCTGGTGGGTTTGAACCACCAACCTTCTGGTTAGCAGTCAAATGCCTTAGGCACGACACCACCCAAGCTTCTTAACCTCCCATAGTTCTTTCAAACATGTTTGAGTTCTGGCATCTAGGAACTGAGTACTTTTTCAAAGCAGGGCCCACACTTGCCCACGCAGTAAATCAGCTGGCTGCTTTTGGCAGCATGCAGGGCCTTGTTTGCAAAGATGTTTTCCCAGGGCTGTGATCCTGGGTTGTTTCGAATCATAAAAAGGTTCCTTCTCCAGCCACTCCCCGGAAGGAAGGTTGGGCAATCTACTTTCGTAGTGATACCGCCAAGGAAGGTGATACCCAAGGAGGGGTCGCTATGAGTCGGGTCTGATTCGACAGCACGTTAACAAAACAACATCACAGCCACTGGGCAGGCAGAGGTGACAAGAACCTCCAGATAGCCGCAGATCTGTGCTCACAGACAACCCTGCTGGAAAGAGCCACTCTTGAGGCACCAGCTCCGTCTACTGCAAATCTTCTGGCCAGCATGTGCACACTGATTACCGCTGTTTCTCGAGCTCTCCCCCTGCAGAGTAAGTTTCCAGACGGCCACCATCACCTTGTGCTTTTAGCTCCCCGGAGAATTTCCTCTCCAGGGTGTGGCAATAAGATATGATGGTAAAAAAAAAAAAAAAGTGTTTCTACCAGCTGAAGGAGTGCCACTGGGCTGGGCTGGCAAGACAACTTTTAAGTCAACAAAAGAATGACAGAAGTAGGCTCCCAGTGGCAAGGGTACCGTGACATCTGTTTAGTGGGCAAAAAGGTGGCCTCTACCATTTGAAGGGCCAGCGATCTAAACCGGGCCCAGCCTTTCCATACTCCCACGGAGTTAAAAGCTTCCACAGCTGCCTCTTATCTCCACGATGTAACCAGCTTTCAAGACTTTCAATCAACAAATTGCTAGTTGAGCCCCTACTCCGTGTCAGTCGCTCTTCTAGGTGTGAGGACAAAGTACTGAATGAAATGGGAGGGGTCTGCTTTCACAGCGCTATACTGCCTCGGAAACCCAAGGAGGGGTTGCTACGAGTCAGGTCCGACTCAACAGCACAAAACAGGCTAGCAAGGGAGATGGAAATATACATACATACACATGTAGCTTGCCATGGCCAGTTGCTAGCTTGTGTGTATTTCTTGTTAGCACCTAGAGGCAGAGAAGGTCAGGCAAGTGGGGGATGCTACTTTAGGAACAGCCCCTCTAACAAGGTGACATCCGAACAGAAACCTAAAGGAAGAGGACAGGAAGCAAAGCCTGTGGCTGTATGTGGAGCCACTAATCAGGCAAAGCAAGAGCCACGCCCGAGCGCTCAGCCATGCTGAAGGAAAAGGAGGGAGCTGGCTGGAGCGCGGGTAGTGCTAAGCAGTGGCAGCCGTCAGGTGTGTCCTCAGAGACTGGAAGCCTCTGGAAGTTTCACAGCAAAGGAGCAACTCGCTATGGTGCATCTGAGGGGCCCAATGGTTCCTGCCAAGAACTTGCCTTTCCATCCAGATAGACTGACTCAGAATCTCTGTTTTCACAAAATCCCCAGGTGATTCTACAGTGTATATAAGCATCACTGGGGAGCTTGTGAAAAACAGAGACCGACTGCGTACATCTGGGTGGAGAGGCAGATTCTCAGCAGAGCCTCAAACCGGGACGAACTGGCTGGAAGCCCTGCTCTGACCACCACTCCTGCTGCTACAGGGGTGAAAGGGTAGAAGCCTCTGGGGTCTTTCTACAATGCAGGCGGGACAGGCTGGGGCTGTAAGCAAAGGAAAGAGGGATTCTGAAGGCACTGTGAAAATCAAGTCAGTAAGACATGCTAAAGAACTGAACACGGTGCGGAAGAGAAGGGGCAGAGCCAAGTAGGATTCCAAGATTTGAGGGCTGGACAGCAGGCAGCAGGCAGAATGGTGCTGTCCTTCTAGGGGAGGCCCACAGGAAACAGAGCGTTTGGAAGCACGTTCAGTTTGAGACACTAATTCAACATCTATTAGGGATTCCATGATCTAATCCCAACCTCCCTTTCCTATCTTGTCTGTCAAGCCTGTATCCCAACTAAACCATCTGTCATCCTACATCCTAAGCGTTCACGAGAACTCTTACTCCCAGGAATACTTTCCAAATAAAAATGGTGCCCATCATGACTTTATTACCACTTGTCCATCAACGAACCTGAGGGCAGCCTCAGTGTCTGATCCCTGCCTGGCACAGGGAGGAGGCCAGTTGCAACAGGCCCTGCTGCCCTGGCCTTGCAGAGACAGAGACGGGAAGGAAAGAGGACAGACCCTCAGAACATGCCCAACCCTGGGGAGAAAATAACTCGGACTGCGAGTGCAATGGTTTCCTGAGTCAGGGACCCTTCCTGCACAGGGTCCCTCCTGCGGCCGTGAAGAGCTTCCGCGCTGGAAACAGCTCCAGCTGTCCACCTCTCCCCTCACTCAGCCTCAGGCACCTCTTCAGAGTAATGGGCCCATGCTGGGGATGCCGCCGTCAACAACGCCTGACACGCAGGTACTTCGAGCCAGGCCTCTTCCCTACTCCCTTCCCGCCTATCTGGAACCACAGGGCACTGTGACTTGCTTTATTGTAAAGTCCCACGCATGCACCTTACTAGAAGCAGAGCCAAGTATTCGCCTGCCGTGTGTCACTGAAAGCACCGAGTGCGTTTTGTCAGATACGTGAGAACCTGTCACTGCTGGGGACCATCGAGTCGAAAGCAACAGTGCACAACTGTCCCATAGTTTCCTAGCCTGAAATCTGTCCAGGTGCAGGTCAGCAGGTCCTTTCAGCTCCAGGGTCCAAATCGACCTTTCAATTAGCAGCTGAGCACTTCAACCATTGTACCACCAAGGCTCCTCATTGTGAGAACCTCCTTAGGAATGTCTCAACATTTTTGCTTTCTCAAAGCCTCAGGGCCTGACTCCAGAGACTCCCAGGATCATTACGATGGTGGTGCCTTCTCCCAGTTCCCAGAGAGGTTGGGTGAGCTTTCTAGGAAACCGTGTGACTGGCGGAGGAGTTGTTAGCACCTGTGAAGCACATTCACACCCACCCACCCCTGCAATCCCCGGCAGGGCAGCATCGCAGCCAAACAGAGCTCCAGCTTCCAGCAGAAGAGCAAGTGTGAGAAAGGTGGCTTTAGGAGCAAGATGGGGGCTGAGGGCACTCCATTTACAAGGCAAGGACACCGAGGCTCATGAAGCCTGTCCTTCATCCCTCCAACCACATACTGATCATTACTATCCCAACCCACAGAGTATTCACAAGTGATGTCAATTTCAGCTGGCACCCCCTTGTGAGCGTGGCTGAATCTAAATCACCCAAATATGTACTGTTCACAAGGCTCACCAGACACTAAGCACCCACTGGGAAACACCCTCAGTGGCCAGGCCGCACCTCCAGGGTCCAGGAGTGGCAACCCCAATGGCCAGGGAAGGGCCAAGCAACACTGCAGTGGGCACTCCTGGAGGACACTACGAAGCAAAGTCAGCCGTTATCAGGAACAAAATGATCGGGCCAGGAGCGCCCAAGGAGCTGGCTTTCAGCAGCATCTTCAGCTGGGTACAGGATAACCGCAGCAAGTGATTCACGGAACAAATTGGTTCCTGTTTTTGCACTGGGGCCCAGAAAGGTAGGGGACAGACTGGGCTGGAGGCCGGAGGCCTGGGTGTTCATCCCAGCTGCGTCATGCAGGGAGACCTCGGGTATCAATAAGGATTATGCACGACTATTGACCCAGTGTCCAGCGAGTGCCAGGCACTGGGGGCATCATCTCACAGCAGCCAGGGAAGGTGGGGCTGGTATCATCTTAGAGATGACGAAACTGAAGTTCAGGGAGGACCAAGTCGCCAACCAGCCCCCAGTCAAGCAGCAAACCGGTGGGACTCATCTGAAGCGTCAAATCCGGAGCCCAAGTAAGTCTCCCACGAAGAAAAAGGAGGGAGGACGGGGTGAGCTGAAACCAGCTTCCAGGGCTCCGGATGCGGTCTCCAGGCGGAGGGGGCGTGGCACCCGCACCCTGCTCAGCCACTGGGCTGGACACGGGGAGTGGATAGGGCAGGAAATTGAGATTGTGACCCGCAGCGCCCAGAAACCGAACCCAGCGCCGGGGGTGGGGGGTTTACTCACGTCGATGTTTCTGAGGATGACGCACTTTCCGTTGGTGTAAAGAAAATTGTTGCCCTTAGGGTCGCCGCCGATGATTTTGGAAACACCCCTCTCCACCTGGGGGAGGCTGGCGAACACTTTCTCTGCGGAGACACAAATGCAACGGGCACGTGAGGGGCGGCCCCTGCCGGGCTGGGAGGGGACGCGGACGGGGGCCCTCGACTGGGCTCAGCCGGTCACCTGTTGCCTCCACCAGGAGGGGCGGCCGCCACTGTTAAGAAGCGCAGAGAACGGCGCGACTTCCTGGTCCATGTTCCCGGCCAGGCCCTCCGGGTACCCGAGCTCCGCCGGGCCCGGCCCGCGGCGCCCAACTTTGGGAAGACCCCCAAGCCCGGGGTCTCCGCCGGACACCCCCGAGGGCAGGAGGGCGCGCCGCTGGCCTCAGAGCCCCCACCCCCTACCGGGGACCCCGCCGGGCCACCCGCGTCCCCCGCCACCGCCAATGGCCACGGGGCCCCGGGCAGCGTGGGGCGGTCGGCTGGGGGCCCGAGCCCCCACTTACTGATCTCGTAAGGCATCCTCGCCCACTTGTTACCGCCGCACTCGCCGAGAGCCCCGGGCGGGTCAGCAGGGCCGCGTTGCGACTCAGACTC